GAGAGGCCATGTTTTCCATGCGGGGAAAGGCGCATAACTGTTGCGGTCTGTGTACCAATGGCAGGAGTAGGGGGCGTTGGGAGACCATCGTCCGGGGGAACGTAGTTCCTCGCGTTCTTGTCTTCGTCTTGGCCTTTCTAATAAGTGCGACCGTTGTGATCCGCTGGGATAGCGACGGTTTTTTTGTGGTGGTAGGGTTTTTCCTTGAGGGGTTTTGCCCGGACGCCGGGTTTCCCCTCCATATATTACCATGTTGNTTGCCCAATTGATGGTTAGTCACTTGCGTGAAGAACCAGGGAGGGTGTTCGTGAGTCTGCGAACATTGCTGTTGGATACATGTGCTGGATGATTTTGTGTCACGCAGACTGGTAAGATAACCGTTTGATAGGGGGCACCGCGATGATTCACGGGGCCCCTCCTTGCTGTGGGAGCCGCTCTTTGAGCACTCCCTCTTTCGTCCGTGTGAAGGGCAGTCGTCGACCTCTCGTGAAGTTAATACACCAACAAAAGAGTCTCACCCGATAAATAAGTGGCGTATGCCGCAAACAGCCACTGATGCAAAGAGCGGAGGACAGCAAAAAGGTTATTTCAAGCCCAGCCGAAGCCAGGATATCGTGGTATGCTGCATCTCCCAATTTGATAATCGTACACTCCCAAGATCCAACAGTCATCGTGTCAGCAGCTAGATTACTCAAACAAAATAGCAACACATACACGGCCATAGCTCCACACATGCCCTCGTCCGAACCTAGGAAGCCACTGATGCAAAGAGCGGAGGACAGCAAAAGGGTTATTTCAAGCCCAGCCGAAGCCAGGATCGTGGTATGCTGCATCTCCCAATTTGATAGTCAGTCGTACACTCCCAAGATCCAACAGTCATCGTGTCAGCAGCTAGGTGACTCAAACAAAATAGCAACACATAGACTACACTTTCATAGCTCCACACATGCCCTCGTTCGAACCTAGCAATCCACTAGGAAGTCAATAGGGAGTCAAGTCCTGCTCGCAGGTTCTCTTGGCTTTCCTTCAGGTGAACACGTCCAGCAGGAATCCAGTATCCGCAACCGCCGCAGTAGTACTGTACTGTCTAGTAGTAGCAGGAAATCCAGGTTGTACCCACCCGTTGTCCAAACAACGATTTGTGATTCCGTGAGAGAAGGAGATGCCACCGCCGTCGAAGGGTCGAAGGCACTGTCTCCGCCTGTGTCCGGAGATTTTACCGGCACTAAACCTGGCACCTGGCACTATTCAACCGGCACTAGAAAGGTCCCTCGACTGTATGTGCCAAGTTTTGCGATACACAGGTGACCAGTGGGCACGGTTACGAGGGATTAACGTGACATGTAACCCCCAGGCGTTGTGCAACCTGGGTAACCCGGTCGGGCGCACCTTTACCAACCTCTAAGGTTAGGCAGGGTTCCGAAACGCCGGTCCAAACCCAGTTAAGGGAAATTTGTATCCGTGCTTGGTTGCAGGCGAGGTCGTCCAAGCCCGAGAATGTCCATGCCTTGCCGCGAAAACTATGTACCAGCCGGTGTCCACAGAGTACACGACACACCGATTCATCGGACATTCGGGGCATATGTAAAAAAACAAAACTTCAAGAGTGCCGGCATTTGTAAGACCCATTTTTTTATCGTTGACTACCGTTGGACAAGCAAAAATAAAAACACTACACCCCCCCCATCGCCGCACCACCAGTACTGTACTATTTTCAAAGGAACCTCCTCCTCGCCGCTGATCTTCAACTAACTGCCCACCGTTCACCCCGCGAGTAGCCCCTCACCCCTTCGTGAGTGCTCATTATATCTTGCAGCTGTCGCGTTTTGGGGGCTCTGTTCTTAAACCACAAAGAAATGCGGGTTCGTTCTTGTTCTGAACAACACGTCGGGCCTGAGCACGCACGTGTGTTGTTGTGCTTGTTAATTTGTCGACAATTTCTTTAATTTTGACTTTTTTTTCGAGGCCGAATTCCTTAACTACCAAGTTCTTACGTGCGAGCACCATCTTCATCTTCTGATGATCATGATGTAGTGCCGGAAGCAACATAGACAGACATGGGCCTACTCTACTTGATATATATATGGTTGCGTACGTACTACGTAGAAACACGCACGGCAACGATTGGGGGGCAAAGCAAAGACCGAGAAAAAGAGAGATAGAGTAGGCGATGATATACTACCCACACACGCTGCCTCTCTCGTAAAAGTCAATACGACAACACGTACGTATTGTATGTCTGTCTCTTTAAAAACATATAACAATAGTGGTCGAATGTAGTATTATTACATATAATATGATCTCTGCTGAAAACAATTGTTGCGCGCTCAGCATTGTTAAAAAAATTCTATACTTCGTATACTTTATGCTGCTGCTGTGGAACATAAAAACCTAGCTGAACAAAAACTTGACATTCATTCATTGAACGATTCGTAATGGATGACTTTACTCGGAGTTTCTGCTTTTAGCGTGGGGGGGACCGCATAGTACAAGTGTGCTCTTATCGGCCGCGTGGGTGGTGTTGCCACCACCATTGTTTCCGCCCCTACTATAATAGCATAGAATTTGGTGGAATATAGTCATAGGCTTCAACATGTAGCGTAGCGGTCAACCGTGAGATAGACTGTTCAAGCCCAAGTTGCTGTTTAGATCCACTCCATGTTATGTTTTCTTCACCGATCAATTCGACGTAGAGTATAATGCCAAGCGAGGAATTGCGTAACTATAACACAAATAAGTACGGGTTGATTGAAAAGAATGTGGCAATGGAGGGGAAGGCTCACACATAGTTTTTATTTTCTCCTCCTTCATTCACACCAATCCGCGCACGACCGCTTCCATAATAACCTGGTACGTTATGCTCGCTCGGCCTGTAACCCCCCCACGTTATCCCATGTAATAACCCCTGGTTGGCCGGAGGTTACACAACGCCCCTGTACAACCGTGCCCACTGGCCACCTGTCTGTGTACCTGCACGGAGCGCGGAAATGGTGCATGTCGTACAAGCTGGTCCAGCCAAGAAACCAACTTGCGTTCATCACGCCATAGCTTAACAAGGAAAAATATTTGAGCCGCGTTCGGCATATCCCCCGAATCGCCCAACCAAGGCGGGTACGCACGTGTTAGCAAACAGCTGATTGTCGACGTCCAAAACGGAAGATATCACCCCCAATTCATATATGGTAGGCTTTTATTTATATTTTTCACATCAAATATGTATCGTTCTGAAGGAAAGCGGTGTTTGGTGGAGGCGTGTCGGAATTCGACTTCAAGGGGATAGAGCTGAAGCGTCCCCTGGTGGGGGAGCGAACGCTCGTGCAGTCTGTTTGCGTTCGATTGGACAAGCACACCAAGAAAACACCACGAGGTAGTGCCCAGCACGGAGAAGAGTTTGGACGTAGGGCTTGATCGATTTTTCGATGGCTGCTCCCTCCAGCGCCGTCGCTCAAGCGCAAGCTGCAGCCGCGCTCGCAGCAGAAGAACAAGCCGCAGCAGCAGCGGCCGCAGGGGAGGAGCAGCCGGAGGCAGCGGCGGCAGCGGCGGCACAAGCAGCGGCGGCAGCAGCGGCACAAGCAGCGGCGGCAGCGGCTGCACAAGTAGCGGCGGCAGCAGCAGTGGTGGTGCATCCTCCTCCCCCTCCCGTCAACCAAAACCCTGAGGTGAACGTGGGAGGAGACCAGCCCGCCGTGAATCTCAACGCAGTCCTCCAGCAACTTTTGGCTGGTCAACAAGCGCAGGCTGTCTTCAATGCGAACATCGCGCAGCAACTGGAGCAATTGCATCAGCAGCAACCACCGGTCGCCGCCCCGTTCGCTGGCCAATTCCTGGCGGAGCCTGCGGGAGGAGTTCTACACCCCCTCCCGGCCATCGGAGGAGTTCCGCACCCCCACCCGCCCGCTGCTGCTGCCCCGGCTCGCGCGGCCGCGCCCGCCGGTCTGTCGGAGGGCGCGAAGCTGGCGGCCAAGCTTCAGGCGAATCTGTGGACCACGGACGCGGCCACACCCAAGTGGTTCATCATTCGCGGCGGCTTCCACGTCGGGCGCGTCATGAACAAGGAGCGGCTTACCCTAGCGACTAGAAAATTCGCTCTCATCACCGACAAGGCGGCCGCGCAAATCTCTAAATTGACGGACTTTGCGGCCGAGCACTTCTTCACCAAGATGCCAGACGGGGTGCTGCCCACGGCAATGCCGCCGCAAATGCATATCACGGTGGCGGTGAAAGTGTTTTTCGCAGCTATCGAAGCCGGCATGGGGGGGGCGGATGCTCTCTGCACGGAGCGCGTGAAGAGCCTGCACAGGGAATTTCTGGCGGTCGAATCTCAGCTCTCAGCGTACCTTACGCTCCATTTCGTGGAGCTGGCCGCGTTCCCGGCGAAGACCCGCGACACTGTCTTGGCAGCGTACAACATTGGTTTCAACGACTTTTTCCACGATCTAGCGGCGCGGGGCGAGGACTTGCTGCAGGAACATAGCAACGGCCCCCCAATGTCGGCCTCCGTCATTAGCATGGAGTCGCCGAAGTTCACGAAGCTAAGAAACCTGATCAAGGAGGAAGATACTAATTCCCTCGTCGCGAGGTCAAAGTCATGGTCCGCGGAGAAGACGGCCCCGCCCACCCCCGCCGCCGCATCTGCCGCCGCCGCCTCCGCCGGTAAACGGAAGAGTAGCGGCGGCGCTTCGTCATCGGCGGGGACGGCAAAGAAACGAGCTCCAAGCAGCGGGGTCTTTTTCCAACCCCCTGACCACGTGTGCCGGAACTGGTGGTTCTCCACCGACTGCCACCGCCAAGTGTGCTCTTTCGAACACATCTGGGGCGGAGCCTTTGGCGGCGCCGGCGGGGGACAGCAGCGTCAACAGCGGCGGGCCCCGGCGCAGCAGCCGCAGAACCCCCAGCAGCCCCTACAACAGCCTCAGCTACAGCCTCACCCCCAGCAGCAGCAGCAGCAGCAGCAGCAACAACAACAGCAGCAGCAGCCGCAGCAGCAGCAGCAACCGCCGGCGCAGGCCGCCAACGGAGGGGGGCGGGGACAGCAGCAGCGAAATGTCGCCCACTACAGTGTGATGGCGGGCGGCGGCAGGGGAGGAGGGGGGGGGCGCGGGAGCGCCAACTTTGGCCGCGGGGCCGGGGCCGGGAGCGGGACTTGACGGGGCGGGCTCTGCCTTCAGGCAGAGCCGACATCAGGAGGGAGGGGGTCTCCAGCGCGAGCCGGTTCCCTCTTCGCAGACATCGGGAGATCCGTCGGGGTTCCCGGTATCTCCACACCTGGGTCTGTTTCGCCGACCTGTTTTTACGGTGAGCAAGGGTCGGTACCGCTATCCTTTGGGTTGGCACTAGAGAGAACCGCAGGGACAGTCGCTCACAGAGCCGCAGGTTCAGATGTTCAGTGCAATCACAATTCAGAGTCCGTACCAGCCAGAACCGCAGGGACAGACGCTCTCGGAGCCGCAGGTCCGGATGTTCAGCAAACACACGCCCACCAATTCGCCGTAGTAGGAACCGCAGGGACAGATGCTCACGGAGCCACAGGTCCGGATGTTCACGGCTTCCACAGCTCAGAGTTGGCACTTGTAAGAACCGCAGGGACGGATGCTCACGGAGCCGCAGGTCCGGATGTTCAGTGCAAACACACCCACAACGCAGAGTCCGCCGTAATAGGAACCGCAGGGACAGATGCTCACGGAGCCACAGGTCCGGATGTTCACGGCTTTCGCAGCACAGAGTTGGCACTTGTAAGAACCGTAGGGACGGATGCTCACGGAGCCGCAGGTCCGGATGTTCAGTGCAACCTTGTCGCAAATGGAACACTCACAACGCCAAACGAGAAAACCAGTAGCTTCAGCAGGCTCCCAAAAATCGGGGCTCGTCGGGATCACGGGTCGGCTCGATGGCCTCGATATGGAGGGGTTTCGAGTGATAGGTCGCAGAGAAGCTCTCGATGGCACGAACAAAAAGAAGCCCTCAACAACCCAGAACTCGATCAGACAGAAAGAGAGCGCATCCTCTACCTTCTCGCAAAAACGGGAACGAGCATGATGCGCGAACACGGAGGACGCATAGGCGACGTAGCGCGCTGCTTGGGTGGTAACATGGTGACCCCCCCAGTAGACCCCGCAGCCGTCAGAGACTATTTCGGAAGGCGGAAGGGGTTTCCACAAATCGAAGAACTGATGACTATCATTACGGGGGGCGTGCCGGTTATCACCGAGACCTCAAGCACAGACTTAGAGCGTGCGCTGCGTTACGGTAATCACTCCTCAGCAGACGGACACCTGCCGTTACTTTGGGAAAAACTTGGAAACGATGTACGCAGGGAAAGGTGCCTGGTGTTGGAGAAAACTTCAGCTCACGAGATCCCTAACCTTAGAGTCTCGCCTGTCGGGGTGGTGGTGACGCACAAGCCTAGAGTGATTAACGACCTCTCGTTTAACCCAACAGACAGAACAACAAAGGGGGGTCTCAACGCAGACACTAATGCAGATACCATTCCGCCGTGCCTGTGCGCCGGAGCCTTGCCCGGTTTCCTAACCGCGTTAGTCAGCCTGCGAGCCAAATGCCCGAAGCTACGCCTGCTCATGGCCACCACCGACGTGAACGATGCCTTTCGCAACGTCCGGATAAATCCAGACCAAGCACACAACTTTGGCTACACCCTAGGAGACTTGCTGGTGGTGGACTTGAGACTCCCGTTTGGGTGGACGGGATCCCCTGGACATTTCGGAGTCACGGCGTCGGCGGCTGAACACGCACACCGCAATACCAACCTAAGCACGGCACAAATTCTTCCAGAAGGAGTAGACATGATGAAGCATGTGAAGATTGTGGATAGGTGGGAAGAGGGAGAACCCACGCCGGTACCCAGCGATGTCGTCATTCGGCCGAGTACAGGGGGCGAGCTGAACAGCCCTTTCGAGACTTGGGTTTATGTCGACGATCACGCACTGCTCAGAGCACAACTTTCCGATACCGACCGTTCTGCCTTGATCGCCTCCCAGTCCCTCGCCTCCGATTACGTACGTGCGTTCGGTCACGAAGCTGGAGAGACGCCTATCCTCGCCCCAAAGAAGAGTTCGGACTGGGATACCAAACTTGAATTTCTGGGGTTTACCATCGATTCTCACGCCCTCACTATCTCCGTGCCAGAAAAGAAGGCGCAGGCACTAAAAACAGCCCTGGAAAACGAGTGGCCAAAAGATAGGCGGCAAGCGACCGCACAAGAGGTTTTCAGCATAGCTGGAAAACTTTGGAACATGACGTTTGTGATTCGAGCTGGAAAGTACTTCGTCTGGCGGCTCTTGCGCCTTACAGGCTTGCACACTGCGAACGGTAACCAGAACCACATCGTAGATCTCGGGAAGGAGTTCCACGCTGATCTAGAGTTTTGGCGATGGGCGATCCAGCATGAGCTCGTAGCTGCGGGGGAATCCCTGAGCGCCCCGTGTTTCGTACAACTTGCGCGCCCACCGAAGAGAAAATACTTATCCGATGCCAGCTTCGACGCCATAGGCGGCTACTGCACAGAACTTCGAACGTACTGGAGGTACGACCTCCCACTAGACTTTTCGGCAGAACTAAAACGCAAGGCCGCGTGCCGCGAGACGAGTAGCGTGACGATCAATCTGCTTGAACTTGTCGGGATGGTCATGACGGCGTGGGTGATGCACGAATTAGTGGGGGACCGCCCAGAAATCAGGGGTGACCCGATCCTCATGCGCGGAGACAACTTCGCTGCAGTTTCCTGGTCAAACCGATGCGGGGGCGCGAGAGACAAGCGCGCCGGCCTCATGATGAGAACAATGGGCCGGTTAGAAATCAGGGGGGGTTGGAGATACGACGCAAAACACATCCCGGGTGTTGAGAACACACTAGCGGACGGCATCTCCCGATGGCCCCGCGCAGAGCTAGCTGAGAAAGTGAGGCAGCTGACTAACACAGATGACTGGCGCGAACAGTCGATCGGGGAATCAGGAGAACGCCTCTGCGAGATAGTACTGCAGACAAAGAACATTACCACTCGCCACGATAACATGTTGTGGAAACTGCTTACCGCCGAACAACCCTCACACGCCCTCACGAGAACCGTACCCCTTTCCTAAAAATCACTAGTCATCCACTCGTACTCGCTGGATGCCACAGGAACAGGGAATTGGGGGGGGGGAGGACGGAGGAGGCGACGGCTTTGGTGGATGCAATGGTGCAAGCGTCCGTCGGGAGCGCCACGCACCAGCTCTATGCTGCTAAGTGGAAAGCGTGGACGAAGTTCATGAGTAACAAGGGGATGGGCCCGTGGTTGCACCTCTTGGATGCGGCGGTCGTTATTAATACGTTGCTGGAGTTCATGGCCTGCCGTTTGTTCGCTTTCGACAATCAGCTTTCCACGGTGAGGGGGTACCTGGCCGCTGTAAAGTTTTTCCACAAGCTGCACCTAGGGTGGGAGGTACCAACTTCTCACTGTTTGATTGTGGCGGCGGGGAAGGGGATAGCAAGAATTCGCGGGGGCGTCGGAAAAAAGGCCCAAGTAAGGTTGCCCCTCACATGGTCGATGCTAGCCCAGGGTTACCTCACTGTCTCAGAGTTCAAGGAAGGAGGGCGAGTGATGTGGCTGGGTCTAGCCTTGACCTATTTTCTGCTTTGCCGTGCGTCCGAATTATTCGCGTACGCGGACGGGTTAGTGCACCCGGAATTCTGCCTGACACGCAACAGTCTGACTTTCTACCGGGGAACAGAGCGGGTGGGCATAGAGGACCGAGCCCTGGCTGATTCCGTGCAGGTGGATTTCATTGCATCGAAAGGGGATCAGAACAGAGATGGTCGTTCAATCACCCGCGGGCGTAGCCCACTAGGACCCGACGGGGAGGTACCGGTAGGCGCGTTCGAGGCGGTGGTGGCTATCCTGGACGTGCACCCCGAACTCCCGGGAAATGCACCTCTGCTGACCAGGCAGACGCCGAGCGGTTGGCGAGTGATTACTAGAACCGAAGGGGTAGCAGCGTTGAGAGTGATGGTGGAAAGCATTGGCTTGAACCCTGCACACTTCGCGTTGCACTCGGGAAGGATCGGCGCTGCAACTCAGATGGCAGCGCAGGGCCTGTCGGCGTTGCAAATCCAACACGCCGGCAGGTGGAAGTCACAGGCGTTCATGGTGTATGTCAGGGATACGGGGGCGGAGGGCGCCAAAGAGGTGTCAAGGGCTCTAGCGCAGAAGGGAGAAGGAAAAGTAAGCAACGGCCTCTGCCTGCGAAATGGAGAATGAGAGTCAAGTAGCCTCCGCTGGGCGGGGGTTACTTTTATGCCAGGTTGGCAGAGTCCGTAAAAATTAGGAGAATACCGTGAGATGGGGTATGTATTTTTTGAGGTCAACACGGAGTACGTTTTCCCGATTAACCTCGGCATAGGGTAAAAAAATAATACCAGAATTCTTGAGCAATAACCAAAATGTAGCGTTCTGAAGGAAAGCGGTGTTTGGTGGAGGCGTGTCGGAATTCGACTTCAAGGGGATAGAGCTGAAGCGTCCCCTGGTGGGGGAGCGAACGCTCGTGCAGTCTGTTTGCGTTCGATTGGACAAGCACACCAAGAAAACACCACGAGGTAGTGCCCAGCACGGAGAAGAGTTTGGACGTAGGGCTTGATCGATTTTCCCACCCGCCCACCCTATCGCTCAAGAGAGGGGGGGAATCAGGTTGCAAAAAGTCGAAACATAACCAACATAGTGTCCATGTTTTTGTTTTTTTTTGTATTATTGGTGTCTGTATTTCAGTTTGAATTTTTCGGAGAATGAGAGTCAAGTAGCCTCCGCTGGGCGGGGGTTACTTTTATGCCAGGTTGGCAGAGTCCGTAAAAATTAGGAGAATACCGTGAGACGTGTAGAAGAATGGTACCCACGATGAGATGGGGTATGTATTTTTTGAGGTCAACACGGAGTACGTTTTCCCGATTAACCTCGGCATAGGGTAGAAAAATAATACCAGAATTCTTGAGCAATAACCAAACAGCGCTCACGGCACTATTTATATATATTGCCGTTTACTCCAACCCGTGGTCACACAGGAGAGCCCCTCTCTACCCTCCCCTCCTGCGGTACTTTGCCTTCGATTTTTAATGCGAGAAGAGTTCAGCACTCTCTTCCCTCTGTGTACACACGAACTAGCGCTATCCACTAGGCCAGGAGCGGAAGCGAGAGAAAAACTCACTTTGCAAGAAACGCTCGCTTACGCCGGGATTCGAACCCCTGACCTAACCTCTAGAAGGTTTCGAGGCAACTAGACCACCGGGGCGCTACAGCGCCGCTCAAAATAGAATTGAAACGTTTATTTTTGCGGCGGAATTAGGGATTTTTGAAAAAAGAAACACAGCAGCAGCAGCACAGATTGCTGTTGCGCAGCACCGTGCAGAGAGCGACAGCATGGCTTCCAGCCGCTTCCCCGCAGCCACAGACCAGTGGGAGAAGATGTCCATGCCCGTGTGCTATCCAGAGAAGAACACTGGCAAGTGGCGGTTGTTCCTCAACTTCACAAAGCGGAAGGGAGACAAGGCGAAAAGACAGCAGCGTTCACGGTTTGCTTCTCGAGAGGCAGCGCTTGCCGGCGTCTTGGACTTCAGGACAGGCTGGGAGTACAACCATCGCGGCAAGCTCTACAAGCGCACGATGAGAGATCCAGTCCTATTCTCAGCAGCTGTGGCGGCAGCGGCTGCGCTTCCAGCAGGCAAGTCGTAAATTGGGTACACACACAATCATGTTTTTCAAAATTCCAATCGGTGCTGTTCGTAGCAGCAGGCTGCGGACATCGCGAGTGGTCGAAAGCGCACGCTGCATGCGTACACTACAGCAGGCTTTGCTGCGCGTGGCACTCGCTCTCGTTGTTTCCTACTGTAAGCAAGGGAGGGGGAGCAACATATTTGGAAGCTTGCAACGAGTGCCACCTCTTGTGAGAGGTTGCTGGTGTCCAAACCTTGATTTTTATTATTGAATTTCGGAACGGCTTTTTTTTTCGTCTTCCACAAACAAACCGCGTCCGCCGTGCTGCTGCCGCTGCTGCCGCTGCTGCTGCTGCTGCTGCTGCTGCTGCTGCCGCGGCAGCGGCGACGGCGGCGACGGCGGTCAGTATCTGTACGTGAGGGTTCTACTTGCAGCTTTCGAAAGTACTCACTTTCACTACACCGTATCGCGATAATTTTGTTTTCCCCATATGTAGCATTTTTCATATTTTTCGGTTCAAAGTGCACCGGGTGCAACGAGCTGAGCTGACACAACATTGTCACGTACAAGACTGCGCGTGTCATGTGCTGGCTTGCCGGTCCCGATGTTGTACTCACCGGTGCGACAAGCGCTGATTGAACGCACCATTCACACCTTTATGCACTCCTCAACTGCTGTCTATTTAAACCTCTATGCCTACTGCTGTGCGGGCGCAGCTCCCTGTGGGGCCTTACAGATGCTCGTCACAAGTGTAATCAGTCGACCAAGTTTCCACATGCACGTGGTTCGCGATCATCACATATTGACAGTACCGGACCCAGGCAACACTAAAGTAGGAGTTATCGTTTTGTTCCAGTAATTCATCCTTGTGTATTCTCTGCATATACTGCTGCCGTGATGCGTTGCTGCGGGCCGATCACACTCCCTGCACGAATACAACGCCCCTGTAGGCGCTCTCACAAGTGTAATCAGTCGACCAAATTTCCACATGCACGTGGGTCGCCATCATCACATATTGACAGTACCGGACCCAGGCGATACTACAGCAGCAGATATGGTTTTGTTTTAGTACTTTATCTTCGTGTGCGTTCTGCATATACTCTGCTGCAGCGGTGCCCTGCTGCGGGCCAAAAACACTCCCTGCACGAATACAAGTACAGTCGACATCTGTGCTCGCGATCCCCTTCAACTGATCCAAACATCCATGCACCTGCGCCGCAAGTTACTTCATCTGCCTTTACCTTAAAAAATTACTGGCTGTATTGACAATATACACATCAACATATACCGGAGGCGGGATCAGATAGGGCTCGCTGTGCTGTGCAGTGATCTTTTCCTGTCAAACTTCGCTGCTGCTGTCGTATGAAAATGTTTCACACGAGCTGACGCCTCCACCCGAAATCCCAATTTCACACAGGAAAATCGCGCAACAGCCTCGGCAAGCTAAACGCCGTGGAGGAAAGGAAGTTCAAGCGACAGCGGCTGGCCGGTTCGGACGCGACCCGCGCAGGCTTCACGCTAGAGTCGACGCTTTCCAGGCGCGAGAGGCGTTCGGTGGCCCGGGGCTGGAGCAAGAGGGAAGGAAAGCTTCGACGGGACTTCGACAAGCGGGGCTCCTATCTCGGCAACCGGATCTACGAGCTGACATCGCAGATCGAGAGCAACGAGCAGCACATTCGGCGTATTGAGGAAGCTATGGCGGAGCAAGACCTCGCGAATCTTCTCGCCCCTCTCCCCCCCTCGCCCATCGAAGGAAATGCAGACGTGGACGCACGGGCGTGTACCGAGGGCGAGGACAACCAGTACAAGGAGGAAGTGTCCGCCACCCAAGCAAACCGCTTGTGGTATCAAGGGCACTCGGCGTTGACGGTGTTGAAGGAGGAGCGGAAGCACGACCTGTGNCAGCACATTCGGCGTATTGAGGAAGCTATGGCGGAGCAAGACCTCGCGAATCTTCTCGCCCCCCTCCCCCCCTCGCCCATCGAAGGAAATGCAGACGTGGACGCACGGGCGTGTACCGAGGGCGAGGACAACCAGTACAAGGAGGAAGTGTCCGCCACCCAAGCAAACCGCTTGTGGTATCAAGGGCACTCGGCGTTGACGGTGTTGAAGGAGGAGCGGAAGCGCGACCTGCGGCAACTGCAACTCACGCAGCAGGCGAAGAGCTTGTCCGATGAGTCGTACACGACGATCCCAGCGGTGAAGGCAGCAGAGGCCAAACGGTTTGAGCTGTTGAACGAGGCCTCGCGTCTTCGACACGAGTCGTCGCTCTTGCGGATCGCGGCGAGAGTAAACTCCGCTGGCTCACGGGTTTACGCGGCATCGACAATCCTGGGGTGGCTCAGGGACTTTCGGGGGCACGGTGGTTTCAAGCGAGATTCAAGGGGGGTGCACGAGAGGGACTGGATCATGTCGGAAGAGGACCTCAAGGATGAGCTCATCAAGTGGATGAGGACACAGAAGCGCCTTACGGCCAAGGACGTCCAGAACTACATCAACCAGTGACTCTTCGCGAACGAGATCGGGGATTTATCCAGACTCCTTTCGTACCAGGTGAACCTTCCCGTGTCCATGGCCACAACCCACTCCTGGATGATCGCGCTGGGGTGCAAGTACGAGCGGGCTACGAAGTCTTTCTACACGGACGGCCACGAGAAGAAGGACGTGGTGGTGTACCGCGGCAAGTACATCGACGTGAAGCGGAAGCTCGCCCTTCGGCAACCGTTGTGGGTGCGAGTTCAACGAGACACTCTGACGCCGGAGGAGCTTCAGCGGCTTGACGGCATCAAAGGTCCGGCAAAGGATTTCTGCGCAGAGGTTTACGATTGCGTGGTAGAGGGGCGCGAGTGCATCGAGTTCCACGTCGATCTCCTGCGGGACAACGGCTCCGTCGATCGATTCGACGATCTCCGTGCTGAACTTGGACCGGAAGGGGGGCACTTCAGCGTCCGCTTCGAAGAAGCTGCTGCTCTTCCATGCGAGCATTTTCACACCCCGGCCAAGTGCAAATGCAACAGGAAGGTGCGCCACATCGGACAGGACGAGAGTGTCTACAAGGCGTATGCACGCGAGGGCAAGGAGTGGGTTGTCCAAGGGGTACGCGGGTTACGTAAAAAAACCGAGGGCCCGGGAGAGATGGTGTCTGCCTTTCAAGATGAGAGGCACGGCTTTGGCTTGCCGTTGACGGACGACGTGCTGCAGGCGGTGAACGCGCGTCGCAAGGAGAAGGGCAAGGAAGTCCTGACACGAAGCCCTGGCCTGCGGTTTCTCCAGTACGGGAAGAACAAGGATGGATACTGGGGATACGACGAGTTCAAGGAACAGATGGAGGACGCCTTGGACGTCTTGGACGTCTTCGAACCCGACATGCAAGTGGTGGTTGAGATCGACCACTCGTCGGGGCACACAAGGCAGCGGGAGGATGGATTGCATGTGGGGAACATGAATGTCAAGTACGGGGGGAAGCAAAAGGTGTTGCGGGATACAGTCATGACAGAGGGGTGTTTGGGACCGGAAGAGGCGAAGATGTACCTCTCCAACGGTAAGTGGAGCACGGAGTTCACCGAGGGGGCAGAGGTCTACGACATGAAGCTCAAGGTTGGCGACACACAGACCAGCACGTTTGCGGCAGGTTCTCCACCTCCCTTTTGGGATGCGCCGCGCAAAGATGTGAAGGTCGCGCGCAAGGCTAAGCGCAAGAGCAAAGCGGGAGCGGGGGTTGGCGCAGGCGATGAAGGGGCGGCTGATGGGGCTGGAACAAAGCCTAGGATAAGATTAAGGGAGGGTACGAAAGGAAGGCAAAGGGCTCGAAGCAGTACCTTTGGGAACGGGGATGGTGGAAAGAGGGGATGAATGCGTCAGTGGGGATCGCTGACGAGAAGAACATCGAGCAAGTCTTGCAGGCACTGACGGATTTTGAGAGTGAGAGAACGGCGCTGCAGTACTCGGTCGAGAGCAGGGGACACATACTTTTGTTGTCTCCGAAGTCACCCAGAGGTAGCGGGGGTAGGGATCGAGTACTCGTGGGGGTTTTCCAAGCAGAGATTTCGGCGGAAGTACAACAACGAAGTCCCGAAGCACTTGCACGCCAACATCGAAAAATCGATGTTGCGTTTTCGGACCTTCACCCGCCTCTAGGTTTCCCTGTTTCTTCGGAATCATTAGCACCTTCTGTCCGTTCTGCAGCATTCAATGCTGTAGACTCCGGACATGAACGTCGCGTTGAGTTTTCGAACTCACCTCCGGTTTCGGCCGCCCCTGTTACTTCGGAACCCTTTGCACCTTCTGTCCGTTCTGCAGCATTCAATGCTGTAGACCCCGGACATTTACGTAGCGTTGAGTTTTCAGAACTCACCTCCGGTTTCGACCACCCCTGTTTCTTTGGAAACCTCTGCACCCGGTAGCCTTTCTACCGCTCGCCATGCTGTAGATCCACGAATGATGCAGAACCCTGGGTTTTCGAACCTCACCCCCCCTTCGGCATTTGATCCACCAGTGCCGGGTGTATTGCGTAAGCATGTTGTCTTCAGACCATGCCCCCACAGCTGCTTCGGTAGCTGCCGCCGCACCCCCCGCTGTCTCCGATGATCGTGCCTTGCCACTTTCTTCTAACACAGCACACACTCGTGAAGCATCGATCGATGCGACTGATGCAGCTGCTCGTAATGCTCATGTAGCTNTTACGTAGCGTTGAGTTTTCAGAACTCACCTCCGGTTTCGACCACCCCTGTTTCTTTGGAAACCTCTGCACCCGGTAGCCTTTCTACCGCTCGCCATGCTGTAGATCCACGAATGATGCAGAACCCTGGGTTTTCGAACCTCACCCCCCCTTCGGCATTTGATCCACCAGTGCCGGGTGTATTGCGTAAGCATGTTGTCTTCAGACCATGCCCCCACAGCTGCTTCGGTAGCTGCCGCCGCACCCCCCGCTGTCTCCGATGATCGTGCCTTGCCACTTTCTTCTAACACAGCACACACTCGTGAAGCATCGATCGATGCGACTGATGCAGCTGCTCGTAATGCTCATGTAGCTACCGTTCAACCAGCGTACAGCACCCTCAACTTGAACAAAGTTGAGAATGTCGCTACCATGCCCTTCCGCGCTACTCTGTTGCCGGAAGATGGCTATCAGCAGCTTATTCGCACAACAAGAACGGCTTTGTCTGATATTTTGCTGTTGTGTGATGAGCAGAGTGAAGGTTTGACAGGCGCCGATCATGTGCGTGGATGGGAACGTCCTCTCGAAAAAAAACTTTGAGTGCGATCACCCCCGACAAGCCCTCTACCGCCGATCTCGCCCTTGCCGTTACTGATTTCTTTCAGCAAGTGAAACGGAGCTTGGATGGAGGAGTCCCTGGACCAGACGCTTTCCAGCTGTTGTTGCGTCACCTGGCGGAGCAATTTGACGTCGGCGACCGCCAAGAGTCNCGGGAACGTCTCTCGAAAAAAAACTTTTGAGTGCGATCACCCCCGACAAGCCCTCTACCGCCGACCTCGTCCTTGCCGTTACTGATTTCTTTCAGCAAGTGAAACGGAGCTTGGATGGAGGAGTCCCTGGACCAGACGCTTTCCAGCTGTTGTTGCGTCACCTGGCGGAGCAATTTGACGTCGGCGACCGCCAAGAGTCGTTTTTGCGGCTACAACAATTTGGCGTAGCAGATGGTACTCCTTTCGCGGATTATCTTCGGGCTATTCGTTTGCTAGTTTCGTCTGTGACTGGCTCCGAGCGTACTTTGGCCCCTAGTGTATCCATGGTTCTGGAAATAGTGCGAAACTCGGTCGACAAGCAATTTCCGAGTATGTCTCCGCTTTTGTACCCGGGTGTTTTGGCCACTGCGGTCACTTCCTTTGAGTCGATTGCGGTTATGTGGGAGGCGTTCGCGCCTTTGGCGACTAATAAAACCCCGGCTGTCGGTGGTTCATCTTATTTTTCGTTGACTTCGACCCGTGGCTCTCTGCAGCCTCGGCGGTCCAACCACCGCGCCCCTGCGTCTTCGGGCCAGTGGGCATCCGGCTCCGCACAGAACCCTGTAGTTTTGCCCGTGCAACCTCAAGCCACGGATTTTTTCACGCACAACTACAAATCGTGGCCTGCTTCGCAAGCCGACTGGTCTGATGTATGCGCCCTCACAGCCAATTTTCGTAACACCGATGATCCTTTTTTATGGACTCCTTTGTTGACACAAGAGGCTCGTTCGCAAGCCTTCCGCGAAAACAGAAACCGCTGTCTGAACTGCTCGGGTGATGACCATTCCATGAAGCAATGTGCTTTTCCCTTCACGAATTCTAGTGGATTGTTGAATCCCGAGTTGGGTCACCTCAATGACGACTCTGCTGCTTTTAGGCGTTGGCAAGGTCGCATGTGATCCTTCAGGCGTAAGGGTTCAGATGGACGCAACAGCAATCAGGGTAGACGCCATCGGCAGTCTTCTTCCTCCTCCTCTCAGCGTAGAAACCACGCCGGGCCTCGCGGTTCCGACGGTGGTAGTTCCTCTCACAATCACCACCAACAAGCACACTACGGTGGTCAAACCGCGGGACATTCCGCGGATAACCATCATCATACACAACAGACATCTGGCAACAACCACCACCCTGGTGCTCTGTCCGTCTATCAACCCCAATCGTCGCTCAAACTGGTCCCTCGTCCGGCGTCATGGTTTCGACCAATCACAACGCACGCCAACCCAATCACAACATTTCATTCAGCATTTCTTTTCTTGCATGGCGATCCCAGTGATGCGGTTCGTTTGAGCTGTGGGTGGTGGACATAAGCAGCCATTTGCTCAAGATATCAAACAACCTGGGCCAAATTTTCCGCCGCCGCCAAGGCCGAAATTCGGCACATGTGGCGATTTCTCTTCGGGAAGAACTTTTTTTATTTTTCATGATGACGGCGTTGACACTGCGGTTCATTCAAGCCATCGTGGGTTAACGTGCATGAAAAAACGGCCGAGATATGCTAGGGTTCGCGCCATATCTAGAATCTGCCCCGCGGGGAAAAAAAGGACATCATGAGGCATTTCTCTGTGGCATCGCCGACTTTTTTTTCTTTTCTTTTTTCAACGTGACCGCCTGTTCCAGACGGTTCGTTTAAGCTATTGATCGAAGAAAATGACCTTATATTGCTCAACCAACTGCCAAGGACCTGAATACTATGTTCCTCCGTAATAGTAGCTGCACACACGAACGAGTTTCGGGGAATTGCCACCACAACAGTTCCGTGGCGGAGAAATACCGGCGGAAAATGGGGAAAATGCTCGGGACGGAGCTGCGGGCTCGACCACACGCAACGCGCGGCTACGATGTAGGAGGATGCAAGCGCGGGACCTGCCGACGCCTCACAGGCCTCACAGGCTAATGCTGGCGGTCCTTCCTCTGCGGATCAGGGAGCTGCCTCAGCGGACCCGAAGGCAACCGGCGAGGCTATCGATGAGATGCTAGCCGCGCCAACGACCCCGTCAAAAACAGCAACGGCAAACGCGCGTACCCGGAGCCTTATTAGATATATTGGGGGTACTCGTAGCATAGTATGACGGGTAAGATCTTCAGTACGTACTTACGGAAATTGCAGTGATGAGATGCGGAGGAATCAGAGAGATCCGTTTGGTAGTTTGAGCGTGACGCATGCTTGATTCCGTGATAGATTTACGAGCACGAGCGCGCCCCCGAAGAACCCAACACGTTTTCCTATACGTCCCTCCTCTACCACGGCCCGTCATGGCAAGCTGCTCTACACTCCCAACACACAGAACTGAGCCACCCGAATTATCGATCACGCTAGCGTATGACACGTCGTTAACGATATTCGCGTTGAGCTTAGTTTGGAGTTACATCGCTTTGCGGCGATCAGCAGCAGTCACCGATGAGCACCTCCGACCGAAACCGAGACCAAGAGAGCGACCGTCAAGCAGTGGACGACGACGCCCGGATCAACGAGTTGGTGAACGAGAGGGTAGCAGCGAGACTGGTCAAGATTACAAGGCAACAAGACGAGCAGCAGCAGAGGACAGATCACGTCCGGAGCGGGAACGACCACGAGACACGCCACCAGCAACATGCGGGGCGACCATCGGCCGGCCCGTCCGCAGACGACATCGCCCGCACTCTCGCCGACGCCCTGACCAGCCGTCTTNAGACATGGGTAGAGTACCAAGTAGCGCAGCGACTCTTAGGATGACTGAGGTTAAGCGCCTAGCGCCGTGGGATGGTATGTATAGGCAATGAACAGGCAAGGTTTTTGATTTTTCGATCGAACATGATTGGTATGTTTGCGCAAGAAGGATTCAGGGAAGTGGTATTGAGTGACCACAGAATTCCAGTCGGGCTAGAAGGAGTAGACATGGAGGACTTACGTAGGACGCACTCGCCTGAAACGGTAGAAAAGGCGATCACCGCGTGGAATTTGATCATCACGACAATCACCTATATGCCTGTCTTGACCCAGATTATCGCCAATGGTAGTCCCAGTGGGGGTTGGAAACTATTTCTAGCATACTACGAACCCCAGGCGAGAGCAGAAAAAACACGGTTGACTTCGGAATACCATGCCATCAAAATGCGAGTGGGTGAAAGTCCGCAGGAATACTTTGGCAGATTTGCTGTTTTGCGCAGTAGGTTAGCCTCACACGGCGTCACATACCCCGACGATGATGCCAATTTGCACGTTGTGTAGAACTTGTCTTCCGAGTACAAGATGGAGAAAGCTATGCTGCGTCCCCTTCCGCCCCCCAATTTGACCCGTCAGCATCTTGAAAAGGTCGTGAAAGATGCCCATCGATATGGTGACCGCACGGGAGGGGGAGCCGCAGAATGGTGCGGGGCATGCTTTCGTCGCTGCCTGTGGGAACCGGGGCGACGGACGTGACCAAAATGGGTCCAGTGGGAACGGCGGGGGTCAGGACGGCAGTGGAGGCGGTCGGAGCAGCAACAACAGGGCGGACGGAGACAGGCGCTGCCACTATCATCCGTACTCGTCGCACACCAACAGCGAGTGCTACACCCAGCGTCGGCAACGGAAGAAGCAGAAGACCAAGCAGCAGCAGCCTCAGCAACAGCAGCTGCCTCAGCAACAGCAGCAGCCCCAACGACAGCAACAGCCCCCGCAACAGCAGCGGTCTCAGCAGCAACAGCAACCTCGGGGACCGCCGCCGCAGCAGCCGGGCCGCAGTGGGGGGGGCTGGGGGGGTGGGCCCCGGCACGGGCCTCACGGCGGCTACGGAGGACAGCAGCATCATGGACATCCAGCTCTCCCTCGTACACCGCAGCAGTAGCGGCGGCCGTACGGGCATGCAAATGTAAGTCAACCGTATGGTGCCGCGCCCCATGCGGGGACCGCGTATGGTAACGAGTAAAGGGGGTGGGAGCATCAGCCACAGTATCAGCAACCTTCGCCAGACTACAGCTTCCAGCAGCAGCCGTATTACCCGCCTCCGACANTAGCGGCGGCCGTACGGGCATGCAAATGTAAGTCAACCGTATGGTGCCGCGCCCCATGCGGGGACCGCGTATGGTAACGAGTAAAGGGGGTGGGAGCATCAGCCACAGTATCAGCAACCTTCGCCAGACTACAGCTTCCAGCAGCAGCCGTATTACCCGCCTCCGACAACGTACTACCACCAGCAGCAGCAACCACCGCCGCAGCCTCCGCCACCGCCGTCGTTCCAGCAGCAGCCGCAGCCGCAGCAGCACTCGACCCATGCCCCGTAACATTCGCCTCCTCCCGACGCAGCCGGATCCCCTGGGCATCTTCACTTCCTCAAGACAAGTTTTGTGTCACAAGGCGAGATCGTTCCAAGTGTGGTAGCGCGTGAGAATGGTAGCGGTTTCGCTTTGTCTATTCAGAGTCGCCCTTCGCAGATTGGTAGAGAGAAATTTTGGGCCGACAGCGGCGCAAGCAACACGTTTGTCAGCAGTAGCGAAAACATGTTCGACATGAAGCCGATCCCAGCAGGAAAAGAGTTCATCCAAGTAGGGAATGGTGCCTATCTGCGCGTGCAATGTGTTGGTAGCATCAACATGGCATTTCACATGCCTGGCCCTTTGGGCGAGACCGATTTTTGCGTGCAGATGTCGGACGTGTACGTAGTCCCTGGCATCACGTTCAATCTGTTTTCTCTGCACCATACGCAGCGTAGACAGAGAGTTACGTTGGATGAAAATGGCGTGCATCTATTCAATGGCCAGCGTTCCTTTGCTTACTCCGATGTAGGATGTTCTCTTTGGGCCACTCGCTTGCCTCCCACGTATACCGGTAGTGCTGTAACCCTCGGTCCCGATGCCATCCCTCGTGTGTCTCACCAAGCTCCCCCGCCTAGCGTTGGGACAGGCCTTGTTGTCGCGAACCCCCCTTTCCCCCCAAACACAGGAGCGGGCACACATGCGAGTACGAGCTTC